CGAGTAGGGGGGGGGGGGGGGGGGGGGGGGTACCTGCGCGATGACCTGCGACGCGCCCTTAGAGAAGTTGAGGGTGAAGGAGGCCTGGTCGGCGCCGAGGTAGTTCATGTGGAAGACGAGGTCGTCGGGAAGGCTGAGCGGGAGGTGGGGAAAAAATCCGTCAATAAAATTGCATCTTCTCTAGCCGTGCACACACCAAATAAACAGACTCGGAACTCGTAAGGGAGGAAAGGGAAGGGTACTCACTAGTCGGGGGACCTCCACACACCCCATCCGATACCGGCGTAAACGAGACCGTACTTGTGGCCGGAGACGTTGATGGAGACGACGGTCTCGAGACGGAAGTCCCAGACGAGGTCGGGGGCAACGAAGGGCGCAACGAAACCGCCGGACGCGGCGTCTGTGGTGGAGGGGAGTTGGTGGGGGAGAGAGAGCGTGAATCCCGGTGAGTCACGACATTTCGATCGAGATATCCTCGATGGGACTCCCCCTCTCCCCTGCGCAGGATAACCTACCAATGTGCATGGGGACATCTAGCCCCTTAGTTTCCCTCAGCTCAAGCAGAAGCTCGTTCATCCTGGAAGCGTTCTCGTAGTGACCGGTCATGGTGGACCCAAGAATAGACACAACACCGATGGTGTTCTCATCGATGAGGTCGATGGCGCGCTCGGGGGTCATAAAGAGGTGGTCCTCGTCACACCAGGTATAGCGGGCCTCGACGTCGAGGTAGCGGACGGCCTTTTCCCAGCAGACCTGGACGTTGGCGCCCATGACGAGGTTTGGGCGGTCGTAGGGCTTGCCCTCCGCCTTGCGCTTGAGCTGCCAGCGGCGCTTCATCGCGAGGGTTGAGAGGATGATCGCTTCCGAGGAGCCGACAGTGGAGACGCCGACTGCGTTTTGGCCCGCGGGCATCGGGGGCGCATTGAAGAGACGTGCGATCATGTTGACGCAGCGGGACTGTGGGAGGGGGGAGAGAAGAGTGTTGGGTTTCCACGTGGATTAGGATAAGCTGATTCGAGGCGAGGAGGGGGGCGGGGGGAATCGAGGTGAAGCCATTAAAATCTTACCTGGAGCTCGGCGGTCATGGGGTACTCCTCCTGGTCGATGAAGTTCTTGCTCATGTTCTCCATCATGAGCTTCTCGACCTCGTCCTCCATGTAGGTGGTCACGAACGACGCGAGGTTGAGAACGGGGTTACCGTCGAGGGCTGCAGGAACGGGGAACGTGTGCGGAAGGGGTCAGGTATGGGCGGGATAGAGCGGGATATTAGAAGAGGACAAAAAGGAAATGCCCTTACCGAGCTCGTCCTTGATGAAGCGGTAAGCAGTGGCTGGAAGAAGAATTCGAAAAGATGGTCGATTGGTATTTCTCACGCCGCGCCCGAAACCGCGCTCGAAACCCCGCGCCCCACACACGCGTCCAGCAAGCAGAAAACCTCACATGGCGGCATCTCGTTCTGCAATGAGACAATGGAGGAAGAAGGTAAGAACTTTCGCCTGGACACTCGCGCGAGGGCGCGGTGTCGTCCCGTACGACTCCTGGTGCTCGAACCCCCTACCCATTTCCACGTCGCGCCCCGCAAAACAGCCCACCTCTGGCATCTCGAAGCGCGGAATAGCCTGACGAGCGACGGACGAACCGAAGAGGGCCTGCAAAAAACGTTAAAGCAACGGACGCGCGTGAGCAAATATCATCCGGATCGATGACGAAAGGGCGGTCCGAAAAATCTCCCCCCTCCCTCCCCAGGAGTGCTGAGACACGCACCCTGGTGTAGATGTCTTGGTCCTGCCCGTTGCTGTCCTTCGGTGTGACGGTGTCGATGGTCATATTTGCGATGTGTTTTTGGGGGGGGGGGGGGGGGTGAGTTGAGTATGCGGTGGAGAAACGAAGGGCGGGGGAGCAGTGCTCGACGGGGTTTTATACGTGGCGCTGTGCCGCAAGCGAAGAAAGAAAAGCAGGAGGACCGGCCCGGGCGGACTGGAGACTGTGGGGGTCTGTGGATTGAATCGCTCAGATCGCTCAGCTTCCAGCGGAGATACTACGGACTTATTACTTCGCTTCGGAAATGATTTTCACTTGTCGCCGTCGCGGGCGGTTCGCCTGCCGCCCCGCATCAGCCACACTTCGTTTGAACTTCGAGGTTGTGAAAGCCAAGAGGGACTGGGGACTCCTGCCTCAGCAAAGGGTCTCCTGTCTGTTACCGTTGCCGCTGGTGCAGCAAGCAGAAGCATTTCTTGGTCAAAATGGGGTGCCAAACGGATGGGCTGCGTTCGATCCGCTGTTCGCACAATAATCAATTATTGGCGCCTGGGGGCCCGGAGCGGTTGCCGCAGGAAGCCGTCCGGGGTCCTCGTCTGCGCTCCTTCCAACGATGCCTCCTGCGCCTCCTGCTTTTATTCGGCTCCTGTCCTTCTCGCCAATTCAGCCGCTGATCGATCGTTCGATAATTCGGTGGTTCCCCCGTCCAATTGGACGCCACCCTCGAAAGTGAAACGTTCGTCTAGTTGTGCGTCTTGCGTGCGGGATTTTGGACTTAACACGTTTAAGGGGATCGAACTGACGATGGCACCGGCCTCTTCGGTAAATGCTCCGTTGTTGCACTAAACGGTGGGCACAGACGGTGGATGGACCGGCTACCGGCGTATATTGGTTGGAGGTGCGAGGGCGGTGCGAGTAGCGTAGTGGAGAGTGGAGCCGCCGTTGAGTGGCGATGTTACTTGAAACAGGAATCATGCGGTTATCTATGTGCAGAATAAAAATGCTGACTATAGTCTTCAAAATTAGGCGGTGGTTGTGGCCTCGTGGTGAAGTGGTTAACATTCCTGCTTTGGGTGCAGGAGATCCCGGGTTCAAATCCCGGCGGGGCCCAGTTGAATAGGTGAAGTTTGTAATATTGGTGAGTCATAAATAGCTTTTGTCTAAGGGGGGCATCATAGCTTTCAGCTCTTCAACGTTGTTTTTGTTGACTTTGACGGATCCCTCCTCTTCCCTTTCCGAAAATCCTGCATGCGACCCAGAGACCGTTCCAAAACTTCCCAAACACTCTCCCTTGATGAAAGGGATTGTCATAGTACAAATATGTCCGCCAGGGAATTGTAGCTCTCGAGCCTCGGAGCTCGCGGGGTTGTATTTTGGTGAGCGACTTTAGGCTGATCAGTCAGATGACGCCGACGAAAGACAGGGGGAAATACAAAAACCATGAGAGGAGAGGAGGTTGCAGGAGTGTGTGGGGTCTTCTGTAATGGCCATGAGAGAGGTGCGATTGGCCGCCGTCGGAAGTGCCTCGCAATATGCTCTCAGAGGAAATGATGTGGGGAAATGCGGTACAGGAAGGGCCCGGCGGAGTGTGTGCGAGGCGGGGGG